GATGGTTAATAGTAAATTTACTTTTGATTAGTTAACAACATATTTTGTGTGCTGCTTGCTACTGTCCATGCTAGTTATTGCTTTTATTTCTTTATTGACTCCTATAGTTTTAATGCATTTTTCTATCAGAAACTTGGCAGCTTTATGGAGATGCTATTTGGTGGCCGATATGTCCTTCTTTTGATGTCCCTGTTCTCAATTTACTGTGGATTGATATACAATGAATTCTTTTCTGTTCCTTTTCACATATTCGGTAGCTCTGCCTACAAGTGCCGGGATGCTACATGCAGGTAAAGTTTTTAATGCTCTGGGTTTCCAGATAAAGCTTCAAATAGTCCTTTGAATTTACTAGGTATATCATGTGCCGGCATTATTACATCGTAGGAATTTGACCAAGTAGGAGCCCTGTAAATTATCTAAACAAATGTTATTAACCCCTAGGTTTTGACAGCTGAATTATTCTGTTTGCCTCGGTTGATGATGTTACTGAATGTCTATTATATTTTATGATATTTCTGTGCTTGTTTATTTGCATCCTCCATCAATAAGCGGGCTCCCCACCTTTCTTTATCAGTTCTAATTGTCTATTTGGGTCGCTGATGGTCATAATAAGATATTTTTGTTTTAGCAATTGATTTGCTACAGCTGTTCCCTGTCTCTGTTTCGACAGTGACGCTCATACAGTTGGTTTAGTCAAAGATAGAGATACATATGCATTTGGTGTTGATCCAAGTTGGCGTGGAAGCCGTTCTGAGCTGCCTTTCTTGAACTCTCTCAAGATGAAGATGTCTATTTTGTTTGGTGTAGCACAGATGAATTTAGGAATTATACTAAGTTATTTCAATGCTCGCTACTTCAGCAACTCACTTGATATTAGGTATGCTCTCTCTCTCTCTCTCTCTCTCTCTCTCTCTGTGTGGATGGTGGTGTTGCATTTTTTAGTCATTTTAGAGGTTTACTCTTTTTCTTTTATTCTTTTTTTCTTATTTTAATTTTACCAGGTATCAGTTTGTACCACAAATGATCTTCCTGAACAGCCTGTTCGGATATCTTTCTCTTCTCATTATCATTAAATGGTGCACTGGTTCTCAGGCAGACCTCTACCATGTGATGATTTACATGTTCCTAAGTCCTTTTGAAGACTTGGGTGAAAACAAGCTGTTCTGGGGTCAGGGTGTACTTCAGGCATGACATTTGTTTAATCTTCTGATTTTAATTTCATATGACTACAAATGTAATTGTGTAGATTAAGCAGAAGTTGATTATTAATGAGAATTTTGCAGGTTATATTGTTGCTCTTTGCTGTTATTGCTGTCCCATGGATGCTCTTTCCGAAACCTTTTATTTTAAAGAGATTTCACACTGAGGTACTCTTTTCTACAGGTTGTTTTTCTTATGATATGAAACCTCAGGGTGAAGATTTCCTTTTGAAAGCTGGAGCCTTTTGTATTTAATGCTTTTCAAACACAGTTCCCTTCCTATCACCGGACTTTATACTGGTCAAGACTTTCCCACTTTTCATGATCAATGTTACGGACATATTCTTCTAGTCCCAAACTGGAGCGGATTCGGCTTTTGTTTTTTACTCGGATTTTTACATTACTCATGATTCTTAGCAGTTCTGAGTACTATATCTGCATCATTCAATCTTCTTATGATCTGGCAATTGACTGCATTAAAAACTGGCTTGGGAATTGTGTGCTATTTTCTTACTGCTGCTAGTCTCCTAGAAAATCAGCTCTTACATTTTATTTTAAAACTGAAGGTCTATGACAGAAGGGACTATATTTACTGCGTACAAGTGTTTGTTTGATACCTTCTGATATTTGTGGCATCGATGGTGGCATATGCGTGCGCTATATTTTTCATAAGAAAACAAATTATCTGAAGGGCTCAATTAAAATTTACAAATCATCTCTCCCAACTTTCTTCGCTTGTCATGCGAGCAGCTTCGGTCCATATTCAACAGCCATATGTGTTCTGAAGGCATGAAACTCTCGAATTAGTGATTAACTTTGCCATTTTTTTGCATATCTAAGAGATTTCAAGGACGGAAATATGGAATTCTTGGAACCTCGGATATGTATAATGATGAGGAGCCAGATTCTGCAAGACAATCGCATCATGAGGAATTCAACTTTAGTGAAGTTTTCGTGCATCAGATGATACATTCTATTGAGTTTGTATTAGGTGCAGTTTCTAACACTGCATCATATCTCCGTCTGTGGGCTTTGAGGTAATCCTAGCTTGCTTTTCCTCCACGTACTTGTTCCTTTTGATTTCAGCTTGTAATCATTTCCTTGTTTTGTGTTTATAGTTTGGCTCACTCGGAACTGTCCACTGTTTTCTATGAAAAGGTTCTCCTTCTAGCCTGGGGGTAAGTTTTCATAGGAGAATGCACCCGAGAGCAATCAATTTTACTACTTGCATTTTTTACTAATCCTGTTGTGCATTTTGTTGATTAAATCTCCAATAATTTGTGTCCTCGTTTCTTGCTAAGAAATTGACACAAAATGTTAATTCACTTACAGACTTGTGTCGTAAAAGAGAGTTTGAGCGTCCTCAATTGATGTGTTTGCATTATGGTTCTTACCGATTTTGCTTTATTTACCCATTTCGCTAGAGATAACTGTTTTACATAACTGAATGAAAAAAACGAGGTTGAATATGAATATGAACTCAAACGTGCTTGGAAGCTTGCTTGGGAGCTGTACTGTACTAATAATATGAAGATTGACCTGTAATTGGGCAAATATTTGACACCTGGAAATTTTTCCAGGTACGACAATATTATCATACGTCTAGTTGGTCTGGGAGTTTTTGCTTTTGCAACAGCATTTATTCTACTTATGATGGAGACTCTGAGTGCTTTCCTCCATGCTCTTCGTCTTCATTGGGTGGAATTTCAGAACAAGTTTTACAGTGGGGATGGATACAAGTTCAGGCCCTTCTCCTTGGCTGCATTGGCCGATGATGATGACTAATATCTTTTTTTTTTTTTCCTTTTCTTTTGGATAATTTATGGACGTACTGCAGACGAAGAAAGATTTTGCGGGTGAGATGGATCTCATTATGGAAGGACCAAAGTCTTTCGCTTTTGATCTTTAACATGATTCCAGTGACAGGAAAATATTGTAACTATTTTTCTCCTAAAAACCTTTTATACTCTTCAGTACAGGGTTTAGGACTGAGTTTAAAGGGAGATATATAACAGTAGCATTGATATTTTCTTCAGTTTCTCTGGGAACAAATTTTTGACTTTCATACAGCAATTGCAAATGTATTAACTTTAGGTTATCATCTCAGTAACATTTTTTTTTTTTTTTAACATTTTTTTTTTTTTTTAATTATTAATCAAATTCGATCTGTCGTTCACTTGGTCAGATTTGGTATGGTTGATAAGCATCTCTAATGCTATGGTTTTGAAAGATAATGATTTTTAACACATGTCAATTAATGATTGTAATGTTAATCCACATAAGAATAATATTAAAAGACTAAAAATTTGAATCAAACTAGTATCTCCAATGCTTCAATTTGATAAGAAGTTATTTGTATAGGTAGACCAATTATAATAATTCATTAATACAAGAATAATAAAAAATTAAACCAAATATAAAGTGAATCAATGAGTCATCATGTTTAATATGATGTTAAATATTAGAAAGTGGGTTCAACATTATCAGCATTAAATGTCATCCACATCATCATGAAAGAGCTAATGACAAGATGCATTGGAGAATAAATTATTAACAAACTTTCAAAAGTTGATGATATGGATAATTTTTTTACAATGTCAATAGTAACATTGGAGATGCTCTAAGAGTAGTACTGACTTTTGACATTGGAGATGCTCTTAGGGTGGTACTGAAGACACGGGTGTTGAATCTATTCAATTATTGCAATTTTTTCTCCCATTTTTTTTTTCATTCAATTGTAAAATTAATCGTTACTTTTATATTATTAAATATAATAATATTTTTTGTAAATATTGTATCATATAATATTTACTCAATATTAACTAATTATAAATTCACATTAAAAAATATATGGAAGTTATTCATTTATAATAATATTATTATTTTATTTTTAACTCATTAAATGAATTCTAAATAACTAAATGGAATGACATATCAATTCCTTTAAAATTGCGTGAACAATTGTTATAATAATAATAATGTAATATTTTATCAACTAATTAATTGGTCAAAACCCTTTAAATGTGTAACAACTACATTATTGATCATATTTTATGCAATTTGTACAACTATTCATATATAAGTAAAATAAATTATAATTATATGGTTCATTTTTATTAATTATTAAATTTATTGATTGCGACATTTCTGTTATATAAATGATTATATTAAATATAATATACATGCATATAACTAATAATATTTTTATATTTGTGCACGTGCATAGAATTGATGACTAGTTCTGATAAAAAGTATGCAATAAAATAAATATATATCATTTTAAAATTTTATGTACATTATTAGTTTATTTAATGCAGAGACCACAATATTTTTTAAAGCTTAAAACTTCTTACTAAATTTTAAATTTATATTTCGGTGATATATCTTGAAAATAAGATTTTTTATGGCCGAATATTATCCATATGCGAAGAAATAGATATAAACACTCCATCATGCACGTACAATAATATTGAATATCAATAATTAACATATTTAACTTTTTAGTGTGCGAATTAGTGGTATTTTCTGGTTTTGCTATGGAACCATCGGATGACTCGGCTTATGGAACCATCTATAGTTATCCGCAAATGGTGTATTGACACGTGTCCTGCAATAAATGCGCAATGGACACGTGTCAATGCATAAAGTTATAGATGGCTCCATAAAGGCACCATCCGATGGCTCCATAGCATTTTCTGGCTCTCGTAATTTTTGAACAAATTATTGTATATTAAAAATTAAGTGAAGTGAATGCCTTCTATTTTGCAACTACTTCACATGACACTAGTGGTCAAAACCGGTCAAGGGCCTGTTTGGTTTTGGAATAGGTAGTTCAAGTTCGTCATTTTTTATGAATCGAAATCGACCCAATAAATTAAAATAATAAAATAAATTAAAAATTAAAAAAACTAATTCTTAAATTAGAATTTCGATGTCGAACCGTAAATTACGATTACGATTCGAAACCTTGAACTGGCTTGGATAAATCCGATTTAAGATCCGTGGTCAACGGTTCAGACAGATCTGTGGCCACGTCTACATGAAATATAAAATAATAATATTATTATGTAATGTGACAAAATGGAATCTGATTTTGATATTGAAAGAGAGATTGGGGGCCAAAATGAAAATATTTGATAAATTTGTTGCTTTGTGTGTCTGTTCACATATTTTAATGGCGACGTGGTAACTCAACAGGGTTTTACACTGGTTTTTCTCTACTCAATAAACTAAACCGGCCGGTGAATTGAGAACGGGAAGACCAGTGGAATCCCGTCCTTTTTTTTCCGATCATCGACAAACGCCGCTAATCAATCGCCGCCGGCCCGCCGTTTCCCAATAAGCTCCGTCATAACCCGCGGCCATCTTCTCGAAAGTAATTAACTGAATCTCTACGAAACTGTCTCGGTCCTCCGGCGCTTTTGCATGGCGGCAAAAAGCTTCGGTTCTTGCAGTAGATATGACTTCATTCGTCGAAATGTTTCGTTTCTTTATTTACCGATCGGGGTTTTATTTCCCGCCTTTTTTCATTGTGCTTCTTGGCTGTCGCAGGTGGTGGTTTGCTTGGCCTGGAACTGAAATTAAGTTGAAATGGAGAGACTATACGGAAATTCTGGTAATGTCTTGCAGGAATTCTTCAAGAGGGAGACGGGTTCTTGCCGTCCCCGGAATTACGCTCGCCGCATTTCCTCCTCCAGAGTATGTGTGTGTGTGTGTGTGTGGGTGTTAGAGTAATCATTATGTTGGTTTTTTTCTTGTTTTGGTATTCTGTCTTTTGTATCTATGTTTGGGGTTAGGAATTTGTTGTGTGTGTGTGAAGAAAAAATTATCAAGAATTGTCTCGGAGAGAGAGAATTTGTTGATGCTTGATCTGTGTGGACATACAGTTATTATGCAGTTCTTGTTCTGATTCTATGCCATGCTCTGTGTGTGTGTATGTGTGTTCTGTTGTGTATTTCTTGTGTGCTTTAATCAATCTATGTATATGAAAGCTGAATGAAATGGGTTGCTTGTGAAGAGTTTAAGACTTCCATTAATGGCATACTACATAGGCTGAGAGGTAAAGTTAGCGAGTTAAGTTTGGAAGGCACATTAAGGACAACCAGAAAAGGTGATCTGTTAGTTGATTTAGTTTTATCGGGAATTATAGTAGTTTTCCATGTAAAGAAATAGTCCACGACTGAATTATGCGAGTTCTTGAACTTTACACATTTCATAATATGGAACATATAGTGTGTTGTTGCTGGAAGCCGAGTAGTTGCATAAGTTTAAATTTTGGTCTTGGAGTTTACTGCGCGCCATAAGTATGACTTTTCTACTATAAATTGAAGTGCACATTGTAAGATTCTATATCCATTATTGCGCTCAGTTTTTGCCGGGTTCTGTGTAACATCGCTTCGGATTGCAGCTATATTTCTACTTTAGGTCATCAAAAACTGTGTTAGACTGTTAGTTAGCCCATGTCCTAGAAGACTTGTACCTCCCACTGACATTTCTTATTCTGCTAGTAAGATCTCCTTGGACATCTCCTTCAAGAAATTAAATCATTTTTCATACGAATTTAATTCCATACATATTTTTATTCATGTTGTATTTTTCTTTCCCCTTTCAGTACCACAATTTTCTTCTTATTACATACAGAAATATTTTCACCTTTTTAGTCAAACTGCTAGCCCCATTTTGATATGTATGTCGTATACTCGAGAAACCATGAATATTAGATAAATCTGTTAAAAATAGGCAATGACTCGTGAGAATATTGAGC